GGGAGCGAGCTAGTCCAGATCTCCATAATTTGAAGAATACACACAGAACTTGGGTTACATGGATGCCTCTCAGACCTTGGAACACTGAGCTCCCAGAGTTGTGTGTGTGTCTTGTGTCAAGTGTGTCTGTGTTTATGTCTGTGTCTGTGTGTTACATGGATGACTCTCAGACTTTGGAACACTTAAGTTCCCAGAGTTGTGTGTCTGTGTTTGTGTGTGTGTGTGTGTGTGTGTGTGTGTGTGTGTGTGTGTGTTACATGGATGCCTCTCAGACCTTGAACACTGAGCTCCGGACTTGTGGGTCTGTATGTATGCCCCGATAGCCAGGGAAATGGGTGATTCTGTGTTCACAGATAGAAAATCACTAGAAATTATTTCAGTAGGGAACCAAAACCAGTCGGTTTTTAAGCTGCCCAGAAGTAAATGGGCATTCTGAGAGGTAGCATGTATCTGCTCTACATGTTGTCATTCCAGGGCTTGGCACTCATATCAGCCTAGCCGAGGCTAACTCTTGGCAAGGCTCCTGGTTAAAGAAGGCTTTTGTGATATTGTGCAGCTTCTATTGTGTAGGGGTGGGAGGGAGATCATGGGAGATTGAATTGCCTACTAATCCCATGGGCTTAGGCACCAGTACCTCCCACCCAACAAACCTAAAACACCTGGCTTTTCCTGTAGGCTGGTGGGGAAATGTGCATGCACACAGAGCAGGAAACTTACAGATCATACTATACTGAGATTGGAAACACTTGGTATAAGTGGGCAGGAAGATGAGCTTGGTCTACATACAAAGTGAGACCCTGGGGAAAGGCAGACAAAGGCAGGCTCATGTATTTTCTTTCACTTTCTATTTGTCTTTCATGGAATGTTTTTAAGGATCTCTCAAGTCTAATCACTCTGATGGATTCTAGATTCTTATTCTAGGGAACACTACTAAGTGACGCAAGATGACTCTTGAGACACTTGAGTCCCTTTTCTTCTGTCTCTGGGTCAGATCCTTCTTGATGGCTTATCTCTGAAGTCCTCACCCCTTTAAGTTAGCTACTTAAGTATATTGTTTCCTGGCTTAAAGATACTTCTGTCTGGTCCTTTTCTAGGAATCAATGTGTAGATTATATGTTTGTGACTTACAACTAAAAACGAAGTTCCCCACTCTGGGAGCATGAAGCCCAAAGAGCTTCATGCTCTTTGCTAATAAGTTGAAACAAAGCATCAGCCATTTAGATGGGAGTGCTGGTAGCAAGCAGTCAGTATCTTTAAGCCTGACATTCATTGCTCTGGAACTGAGTCCTTCTCCCACGGGGGAAGGTTTTCTGGAGGCTTTACATTCCTTGTTCCTAGATAGACTCTTGTTCCCCACTTCCCTATGGTTTCTACATGACCATGAGCCATGGCTTTCTGTGCATTCAACTAGGTTGCTCTCTCCGCACCACAGCTGCTGAGAGAAGTCACCCTTCCCCCAAAGGATGACTGTGGCTTCTCTGCTGACTAATTCCCAGGAAATCAGCACCTCAAGGCCGGTCTGAAAATGCTGTGCTGCCCACTGCTCACTGGCAGATTCAGTTTCCTTTCCACGGACTCTTCTGCCCCTGTGCATTCAAATTGCTGTAATCCCTCGATGTCTGTTCTGTGCCTCTAGCTTGGCTGTAGGCCTTTACGAGTACCTGAGTCCTATAATGATGAACTAAGCAGGCAGTGTCCACCCTCTTTGCTTTTCAGGGACCCAAATCTGCGCCTTTCCCCTGCCATGAGTCTGTTTGCTGTAGTCATCTAGTGTGCTGGGGAGAGATAGCCAGGCAGGCTGCATAATCTCCAGTGTAGAGGGCTGAGGGAGGCTTGGGCACTCTGCTACCACTACTAAGATATGTTCAGACGAGAGGGGACCTCATACTGTGACCTGACCCAGGACCCTCCCTGGAAGAGAGTTCAGCCCAGCTGTGTTTGAGTGAGTGTGTGTATGTGTTTGCATGTGTGTGCTCATGTGCACTGTGGTGTAAAATGACTGTTATCTGGTTGTGTAACTCAGGGTAGGCTGGGGACTCACCAGAAGAATCCCTCCAGCCTGCCCATGACAGGTTTTTCCCTTGTACCCTCTTCAGAGGGGTCAGAGAGAGGGTCCAGGTGGGTTGAAGGGGTTGCAATGGATAACCACTAAGGCCACACTGCTACCAGAGGAGTTGGGGGAGAGGGGAGGAGATGAGGATGCCCCAAGGCCCTGGTATCTGGCTTTAGTTTTCTGTCTTCTTTGCTCAGGACGCCCCAGAAGGCCCAGGACCTATGCCTGGCTTAGAGGACCATCTGTGGCTGGGTGATCCAGCTGCTGGTGTGATCATGGGCTTCCCTCTCTCTCAGTAGGGCAGGCAACTTCTGCCCCAGAGACTGGGCAACTGGCTGTTTCTATGACGTATTTATTTTTACTTGTGTTTCATGTCACTTTTTTAAAAAAGCAAACAGAACAATTGTAAGTCAGTATAACTGCCTATCAGTTTTCTTTATTTCTCTTTTTGTAAAATAAAATTTAAACTCAAGACGTTGTTGTTTGATCAAGAAATGGGACAGCAGCTTAGCTGGGTGATAATGGAAGGAATATAACAGAGCAGCGGGCACTTGGACAGCACATGGAGATAGGATAGGCTGCTAGCAAGTCCTGTTGACTTTTCCCGCTTTTGCACACCAAAGAGGGTTGAATGCTGCATTTCCAGCTCTTGGCAGAACAAAGAAGCTGCCTTGGAGTTGCTGAAGCTAGGTAGTTCTCACCTGTGGAACATCCTGCAGAGTCAGCCTTTTCTAGGCCAAGTGGCTTCAGTCCTTCAGACGTGGGGCTGGCGGTTGTGGGAAGCATTGCATGAATATTCTCTGGCTGAGTTAGAGGAGCTCTGACAGGTTTTGGAATAGGAAGTGGGGAGTAAAGGAACAGTTCCATCTAACCCCATCAGCTTAATTACTTTAAGAAAAGCAACCCTGAGGAGATATTCTTGGGCAATTTGCACAGAACTAAAGAGCCTCAGTTGGTGATTCCTGGGAAAGAGGAAAGGCAAGTCTGGGCTTACAGTAAGGGAATATGAGCTATTGGGAGAGGACTGGGAGAAGGTGAGCAGAGCAGATCTCAGACCTGTCAGGAGTGTAGAAAGGATCTTGCAAAGGAGTCTGTTGCCCCCTAGTGGCCACCTGATAGTTGGCATTATTGGAAACACTGGGAGGCTGATTCCCAGCTGCAGGCCAACTCTCCTGCAATGCTGAAACTCCTAAGGCACACCTGGGAGCTCCCAACCAGGCTCAAGGGAGTGAGCAGAGAGAACAAGATTTGGAAAGGGTGTCTCCCGACAGTGATTTCCTGACAGTCCAATCAGCTTCTGAGAAACAATTAATCACGTGCCCTGAAGACAAAGGCTGTCTGTCTGTCCCTGAGCCTAGGCCATGCACCCTTCTTGTGTCTCAAGGACCGTATCTAGGGTATAGTCCATCTGCCCGAAGCAGCCAATCACTACCATGTTTGATGTTTACATCTACAATGACCTTGCTTGCTGGCCCTACCCTGGAGACTTTTCAATAGCCAGCTGCGTATTCTGTCAGACTGTCCAGCACTGGGACGGACTTCATGGATGAGGTCAAGAGTACTTGTTGCCTCATGGCTGCTGACTTTTTCCGAAGTCATCCTTCTGATACACTCTTTGGGGTGATCATCTCTCCAAATAACAGCCTTGTCAGAAGCATCAGGGTAGTCCTTGGACCAGCCTGTCTTGCAGCAAAATTTATGAACAGCCAAGTTTACAAGCATAGTTACCTCCCTCACCTCCACCATAAATCTGGGCGTCTTAGTGGGAGCCCTTCGCACAGCTCTCTGAGGTTTACAAGCCAGCAGATACTAACTCAAGATTGAACCTGTCTGGAAGGAGCTTGCGCTTAGCTTAGGAGAAGCCACATCCAGGGCACTGAAGTAGAAGCTTGGGAGAAAGGCTTTCTCTTCCCTGGAGTGAACGTCTGGAGTCTTTGGTTTGGTTCACTCATTGTTTCCAGCTCCTGGAACTGTCCTGATAGGAAGTGGCACTTAATAAATTTTGGATGGCGGAATGGTCACTCATCGAAGAGCTGATGGGTAGGTGAGTGGAGACACCGACATGTGCACTCTCCAGAGGTTATCCAAAGCTTGTTTAGACCAGGCTGGGATTCAGCTTCCTTAGCTGTAAAACCTGAGCAAGCGGCCCGACCCGGCTGGGTCCACAGACCTTTCATGAGGCCTCAGTGAGAGAAGTTGTCAAGTGTTAGAGTGGTACAATTGCTAGAAGGCCGACATTGCTGAGGCTGATTCTCCCTAAAACGCACAAACACTATCCAGTCCCGTCCTGACTTCTGGGCTTCTAGGGCAGGCAAACAGGTTGACTTGGCCGGTGCTTGGAGCTAGCGGTCGCCGCTGCGTTTTCCCATCCCACCCGGTCGGCCCGGGTACCTTGGGCTACTACTGATTGTTGCTAGATCACCTTCCGGAGTTCCGGTATGTTGGAGGT